CGAAAGCAGGTACTCCCGAGGGCTTATCCCCAAGCCACTGAAACAAGGACTAGTGACCAGCTGATCGACATCCGTGAGGAGGACTAAGGTGCCTCACGTTTAGCTGAAGCAGAGGCCAAAGCAGTGTGTTGGGGACAGTACCTCGCCCCTCAACTACCAGGACCCTCCTTTCCAGCGACACGAGTCGGCAAACACGTGGGAAGTTTTCTCGCCACTCGAAAACTTAAAACAAGGGCTGTTTCAATTTCTTATGACGAGCCACAACCTCCGAAGAGGAAAACCACAAGGGAGAAAGGAAGGAAAAAAGTATCAAGTCAGAGGAGAGGAGATGGAAAAGAGGATAGATCACTGGGGGCTCCAGGATGGTGACATCCGTCTCACCAAGAAGATGATCCCCTTAAGGGCTAGGGTACCTCGGGATTGCCACACCTGTACTCACAAGAGTGAGCACCTGAGGAGGGAAAGAGAAATAAGAAGTGCAGTTGCCGCAGGATCTTCGACATCTGCAAAACGTGCAGTTTGCCCCAGGGGGAGCCAATAATTGAGAAGATAGAAACGGCACTCAGCATTTGGATTGATGATAGCCATGAAAAACAAATTTCATTGAATGGTAATATCATAAAACAAAAAGCACTCAAAATTTTAAGCACTTCAAAGAACATGGAAAAACCCTCTGTCAACCCATATTTCCTGGGAAATAAACATTGGTTTTAAAATTTCAAAAAGCATTTTGCAATTCATAGTATAGAATTCAAGGAGAATCTGCAACGGCTGATTATGAAGCTGCTAGGACGTTTCTTGAAAAATTTCAAAAGATTATAGAAGAACAAGGATACACAGCAGTTCGAGTTTTCGATGCTGACAAAACTGGGCTTTGGTGGAAAAAAATGCCCAGTAGAACCTTTACATCGAAAAAAGAAAAAACTTGCATCCTGATTTAAGGTGTTTAAAAATTGTCTAATGCTACTTTTGTGCAGTATAACTTTCAACTTTATGATAAAACCCTTGTCAGTTTATAGATCTTTAAATCCTAGTGCACTTAAAGACATAAATAAAACACCTTACCTGTACATTGGAAAGCAAATCCAAGAGCTTGGATTGCTGGGAATATATTTAAAGATTGGTTTTTAAATTGTTTTGTGCCCTATGCTGAACATTATTTAAAGCAGAAAAATTTGAGCTTCAAGGTGCTTAATACTACCCACAATATTTGAATCAGCCCACAGTCAAAATACTGTTCCTACCACCTAACACTACTTCGTTACTCCAACCACTGGATCAAGATATCATTTATACCTTTGAAACATATTACATAAGAAGAACATTACAGTAAATTTTAGACGTAATCGATTCAAAATCAGTTAGTGTAATGGAAGCAACGGAAGACATTTTCAATCAAGAACTGAATCGACATCGTTACTTTGTTGCTGAAAGAACTGAATGCATCAACGTTAAATGCATGTTACAAGAAGATATAGCCATCTTCAGTTGAAATAGAAAACATGAGGGAATCTTCAGAAAATGAAATTGGTGGCATATTAGAACTTGCTAAATCAATTGGAGGTGCAAGTTTTATGAACATGGCTATTGAGGACGTTCAATATTTATTAGCAGAAGAAGAAATTGATGAAGATTTGAGAGAATTGGCATCCGAAGCTGTAAATCAAATCGCTTCTGATGTAAAGATTGAACTACCACTGATAAAGATTGTGAAGTTAATAATTTAACATTAAAAAAATTAAAAGAAGGCCTACGCTTAACTGAAAATCTCGAGTTATTTTTCTTGAGTGCAGATCTTTCCACTGAAATAAGCCGAAAATTCAAAAGGGAGCTGCAAAACTGCCTAGCTCTATATCGAGAAATTTAAAATGACCTGGTAAGAAATAGTAAGCAAATTAAAGTTACAGATTTTTTAAAGAGCCAGAACTTTAAACGAAGAAAAAATTCTGAAAGTGAAAGAGATCTCATTCCACTGAAAAAACGTTTGCTGTTGATTATACTGAGCAATGACAATGAAGAAATTTATTTAAACTAAAGTTGCATTAACCCTCTGAGCGGCCAGGGTTTTCGCTAAGAAAGCACAAATTTCCCAAAACTACTATGAGAAATTTTTTTTTTTTTTTTTTTTTTTTTTTTTGATTTTAATGTAAAAATTCTCCTGTTATTTCATACCTAGATTTGTGTTCTTTTGATATACTGCCTTAAATCTTTTTCATATTTTAATATGCACGTATATATATGTTCCTGCAGATATCACAAAAGATATTTTAATTTAACCCTCTAAGCGGCAAGGCCGTATATATATACGGCCGCTTAGAGGGTTAAATTAAAATATGTAATATTTTTTGTTTTGTGTTGTACATATATATTTTAAATAAAAATTAAGTTGTTTATGTACAATTAAAAAAAATATTTGTTTTTTCAGAACACAACCCCCCTTTTTATACTGGCTATGGGTCTCATACAACACGGTTTCACCAAGGCATTTTCTGAGAACCTATCTACCATGTTATATGAGGGTTACCTGTATATGATTGGAGACAGGTTCAACCAAATGTCCAAGCAGTGGTCACACAAAGTTGAGGTATTCCGACATGGTGGTGTTTAAGCTCGGAGCTGCCACTTCATGACATCCCAAATGTGCTCTACTAAGTTAAGATTTGGCGAGTTAGGTGGCCAGTACATTAACTGGAATTCATTCTTATGCTCCTCGAACCATTCCAACACTATTCGAGGCTTGTGGACCATTGTCCAGTTGGAAAATTCCATTTCCAGTTGGGAAGACAGACGCCTTGTAAGGGTAGAACTGATATGCAATTATGTTTCAACAATCTACAGCTTTCATGGTTTGTTCTACCACAACTAAAGGTCCCAGAGCTACCCATGAGAATGTCTCCCAAAGCATAATACTGCCACCACCAGCCTGTGTATGACCTGCTATACGGGGGCGGGGGGAGAGCAACTATTTGCCTGGAAGACAACATACTTTGACAGGACCATCGATGTGGTGAGTGAGAAATACTGATTCATTCAATCAGGTAACTGTCTTCCACTTATCCATGGTACAATCTCAAGGTTCCCAACCCACTGCAGGCATAGTTGACAATGATGCTTGGTCAACAGAGGCACATAAGTGGTATGTCTGCTGCACAGTTTCATATACAACAGTGTCTGCCAAACTGCGCGATATGAAACTCTAATATTTGGACCTGCACTGTATTTTCCCTAAATAAATCTGGCTCAAACCTCGAGTTGAGCTAATTTGCCATTTGTTGCAACTTTTTGTACATATTTACTGAGTATCTGAAATGCATTTAATTTTTTACTAGCGTCCTTTTAAAATATTTTGTGCATTAAAATTTCTTAATTTTTTCCTTCCCTTTTTGATTTTGAAGTTATCTCAATTTGTAATTTTTATATTTTGTTTTTACGCAATAATTTTTACTATAGTATTGTTTGTTGTAGTTACATGATTTCACATTTTTGCTAAGGAACTATAGTGTCAAATGTATTTTTTAGCATTAGCTTTTAAACTTTCCTCTTCCTATATATATATATAATTTTTCAGCTTTTATGAAACTTCATTCTTCTTAAAGAAACTGCATTTGTTCTCACCGTTTTTACTAACAGAATTTTATAACATTGCTAAGAATAATTTTTAATTAAATTCTTTGTTATTTCTAAGCAGTTTTCTGAATTTGATTTCATTATTTTCTGAGGAGATTTTTATTTTAGTTTTTTATAAATTCTTCGTAACTCTCAGTAGCTTCTTTTGTACCTTTATTAGACTTTTATATAAATTCAAGCATTCTCAGCAGCTTTTTGTTTCAAAGTTTACCTGGTTATTTCGATAAAAGCTAATTTAATACACATTCGAGCTGCCCTTATTGTCGGTTTTAAATACTGACCATATTAATTAGTTACTTGTTTTGATCAGGGTTTCCTCTAGTTGTATATGATTGTAATTAGTTAGTTCATTTGGCTTTTTTAGGCTTTTTCTGCATTTTATTTTTTCAAGTTCTTGCCCAATAAAGTTTTTTTCCGGTTTTTATTTAAATCTTAATATGTATTTTTCTTTTCTGTTTCTACTTAACTATTGTAGTTTTGATGTCTAAGGAGTTGCGAATGCATGAAGGGGAAAGGTTTGAGCATTTGAGAGCCACTGAAAAGTTAAATTGAAAATTTGTTTCGAAAATAAGTCTTGAATCTCACATGTCTCAGAGGAATGAAACATGTCTTAGGAACTTTTTAATCAACTTGGTTTAGGGCTTCAAAATACTTTTCCCTTGATAAGTTCTGTTTGAAACATTAAACTGAGGAGCCTAATACATTTTTATTTATTATTTTTATTGTGTAATGTAATTGTGTATTATTATTATTATTAGTAGTAGTAGTATTAGGATTATTATATAATGCTTTCTGGATAGTATTAATATTTGTAATTTTTATTTGTGCAACTTTTGGGTATGACTATTTTCGAGGAACAAAATGGTTAGGACCTTCATAGGAAAGAAATTGTAAATTTTCATTTAAGCTCCAACTATTTCTATTCTTTTAATAATTATATATATATACATATTTACATACGTTTGGTGTAGGCAATTGCAGCCAAAAAGTAAGGTGCACAACTACATGTTATAGCAGTCCTATATACAAAATTTTAACATTCTGAAGCTACACGTTTTTGAGTTATGTGAGATACATACAATCATGCATACGTATGTCATAAAGAATCTCTTCTGAATCCATTTGAAATCCTTTTTTGAAAGCCGTTTTGGGAAAAAAGTCTTTTATTCTGTTTTCATTGAAATATGATAACTAAAAATTTTCTTGAATATGATACTTCCTTTACTTCATACAAGGAAGTAAAAATAATAATAATAAAAAAGACCATAGCTGAAATGTTAATTTTTTGGACGAATTAAGTATTGGTACAATTTTGTTTACAAATACAAATCTGGTAAAGGTATTTAAACCATTTAAAAATTCATTATTAAAACATACAACTGTCGTTTTCACATTATAATAACTAATAAAGGAATTATTAAATTCGGAAATTTAATGCCACAACTTACAAAGTCTTTTTTAATTGCACAAAAATTTTTCCCGCAGGCTTCCAGAGCTTGAGCAAATAATTGAGCTTCTGATGGAGACCAGTCGTTGGTTGCGTTTACTTTTGAATCTGTTTCACCTGACGATGATGGTTTTGGAACTTGGCAACCATCATCATGATGGCATGGGTGGTGGGAAGCAACAAATTCAGACTGTAAAATAAACATCAAATTATTATATATATTAACAAATCATTTCATTTATTTAAACATAAATTAACAGAAAAACACAGTTATTAATAAAAAAATCAGAAGCTATTATTTGAATGTTTGAATAATTTCAAAATATAAAATAAAATCCTTGAAAATGTAGTAATTTATTGGAATTAAATAGTTAAAAATAAACAGCAATTTTTTTTTTTTTCCTCACCAATCCTTTAATGGCTGACTGTAAAGAACTGTCTGACTTTTCAGGAATTTTAGGGCTATCAACAGCTTTAGCAAATAATCCAATACCCCTAGAAGAAGTTTTGATTAATACAGCAATATTAAAAATAAATAAAGAAAAAAAAAAACTGAGCACTTAAAATTAGTTGAAGATGCTTCTTAAAGAGTTACTTCATACTCCTTATTAATTAAAAATTGCTCAAATATTTCATGCATATTGTTGCAAGTGGTACTTCAGATATTTGAAAATAGCTTTGTAGTTTTTATATTTTAAATACAGAATCATATTTAAAAAACAATGAAAAAAATAACATGCTCCCTGCTCGATTAGTAATGAAATTTAACTCTTTTGGGTGTGCTTTCTTTTCACTGTGAGCTCCACTAGTATTTGAATTTAGGGTCATCACTAACATAGTTCTGGTCAACACTAACATAGATAGTTCTGGTACTTCCAAGTGTATATACATCTTTAAAAAATACAAAATGTGCTATTAATTTTTAAAATTATCTGCTCTTTTCCTTCAAGTGGTAATCACATTTCCTACAGGAACTATTTTATATTAATTCTTTTGCTAATATTAAACACTTGCGCTATGAATAAACTTCACGGTTGTGGTGCCGTGCTCTACAACATAACAAGCGGTAAATTGTCTCATTTATGCCGTTCCGCGTCTGTGAGTGCAATGAAGAACTGTAACTCGAGAAATAAACAAACTCGCTGTTAGGCGACGTGTGCACCACGTTATTTTCATTTTTGTGATAAATGCCTATTGACGTGGTGCTCGTGTTGCTCGCGGTTTGAGACAAAAGCATCTCGACGTGCGTGGCACGTCTTTTTAGCGCAAGTGGTTAAAGATGTGAAGAAATATCAAATGTCACATCATGTCCTGTATTTTTATTTGGTTCTAAAAGTCTTAGCTTTATCTGTTTTATCTATCAGAATTATTAGGATACTTACATATTATCCCACTGGCAATAAAAATGATGCAAAGCAGTGGAATTTAGTGCCAGTTACGGATACGAATAATGTCACAACAAACTTATCACTTTTGTTTGATGAACTTTAAATGGTTCTCCATAAACCACCATTTGTTTGTATGAACAAGGATATAAATTAACTGTTATTGCTGTATTTTTCCCTAGTATTTAGGGGGGAGTTCAAAGGCTTTAGAATCACATCTGTGATTGCACTCTTATTCATTTACAACTGATGAAGAAAATTAATATCCGTTGAATGGGGGGAAAAAAGTTGCTCATAGCCTGATCAAGCAATAACAGATTGGAAGAATCACCTGTAGAAAGTTTGTACTCATAGTGTTTTAAATAGAGATTCTGGTCAATCAGAAAGCTTCATAAAAGAGCAGAAATCCAAGAAAGCCGAAGCACAAAAACAAACCATGACAAATACATCCCAATAATGACTTTTTGATGGATTGTACAGACAGACTGACAAATGTTTTGTCATATGCAACACAGAATTCCTCAAAAAAAAAATGGTGTAAATTTTGTGGAATCTACGCCAACTTTCAAAGCCGATAGGATAATACGTAAGTATTTAATCGGTTAATTCGCCTAAATATGCAAAAGCAATCTAAATACATATTTTGTTTCAAAATCAGTGTTAATTCAAACATTTCGATGAAATTTATATTCAGAATTTAAAACAATATAAATAGGAAAAATGTACTATATTTTAATACAAACCAATTCATTATTTTTGTGAACAATAGTATAAACGATATCAGAATTGTAGATAAGGCACTACATGAGCAGGGCACAGTTGTTTATGCTGATAATGATGAACAATAACTTATAGTAATACCATCAAGATGAAAAAAAAAAAATTAATTCAAAGTGTCACACTGAGAAATGTATTCAGCTAGCGATTGAATAGGAACACTTTTTCTGCATGATGTACTGAAAAAATACCAAAAATCAATATAAATTACAAATTTAGATACAAATTTTGATCATATGCTCTTTATGTATGTTGATTATATTAAAATTATAAAAATCTGAATTATTAAAGCTGATAAATATAAAATAATTTAAATTTGAAGAAAGTGCAAAAGATTCAAAGGAGCTAATATGCTTCAGAGTTGAAATGACACTAATGACTTTTCTATCATTAAGAAATCTAACATCCGTCAAAGATTGAACTCTGGTTAATTTTAAAGTTATCTTTCAAGTAAGATTTTACAAATTAAACTGCAAATATTAAATAGCTGAAAATTCAGGACACAGAATTTGCATCAGCATGGTATCTCAGATAATGCCGAGATCTGGTGAGTTGACCTCATTCCACTTTCATATGTATGTTTCTTAAATAACAATACAGTCAAAAGTCGTTAATCCGGACTCGTCGGGACTTCGGCGATTCCGGATTATCGATCATCAGTTTAAATCTCGTAAGATGGCATGCAGAAATTCTAAAATTAAAAATATGAAAACGTAATTTATGAAATAAAGAACAATTATGATCTAAAGGGTATCAAAGTTTACAAAAAAAAAAGCTTAATATTTATTTGTTTACTTTATTAAACATTTCTTTCAATGTAAGTTGTTTAAGTTGCTTTGTTTTATGTGATAATACTTTCTCTTTAATTCTATAAACAGACATAGTTTCTTGTTCAGTTACAAAGTTCCGCTGTTCAAGTCCTGTTAATTGCTGTGCCGAAAATACCGACTAACTTGTCAATCGAATTTTTTTCGTTTTCACTAACCTCTTTGTCCCATTCTTCATGTCTTTATCCAATTTTTGCAGCGATTCAACTTTTTGATGGACATCAAAACATACTTTCGTTTTGTACGATCCTTTGGGAGTCCAGAATCGGAAATTCTATTTGACATAATCGAAAGTTCAAGGTTACTTTTATAGTATTGCTCTTACAGTCTGCAAAAAATAATAAGCCGGATCCAATTCGAAAATTAAGGAACAACGCAATCATCAACATTAACTGAAATAGATAATTAGATAATTTTAGCTTATACCGTCCGTTATACATAAAAACGTGCATGCGAAAACGTATTCTGCACTTGTGCACATGCATATGCGCAGTCGTAAAAGGTCTCACGCGCACGCGTAAACGCTATGCGCATGTGTCGACGTGGCGCATGCGCAGAAAGTTTTTAGCTTTGAGGTCCGGATTATGGGTGTCCGAATTAACGACTTTTGACTGTATAGCGTTTTTGAATTTGTATGGCTGTATACTGCCTTCTAGCCTATCAGAATGAGCACAATGCTTGAATTGACGTCTCATCACAGAGAATGCACACAGGGCCTCATTTGAATGCTAATTGTATAAACCCCCATAACATTATGCAGCCACCAAATACTGTGGCAGCTGCATAATGGTATGGGGTTTATGTGACTGGTATGTGGGAGATCCAAGATTCAGAAGGTTTCCTATCCCACAGATGTTTCCATTCACCCAAATTTGTTGGAAATGCAACTGGTGAGATCAGATTATTCATTTCCAATCATCAAGAGTTTATCTGAATAAATTACTGAGCCCATGTTAAACACACTTATCAGGGATACAGTGTTGGCTTCTACAGCCTATTAAGGAAAGGAATGTACTACAGTCCTAAATCTAATGCTTGATGAATTCTGATGCTATGCCTCTATTAAATGAAATAATTTTTGCCAGCTGATTCTGATCATGTTTTCATCTAAAATCTTCTTACAGCTATACTGTTATCACAAGATTAAAATTCTCCTGGGATTCTTTAAATGATTATAAGTGAAAATCTGAAATTCTGTGATCTATCTCACGAGCTACATCATATAATGAAGCTGTTGATATCCATCTCCTAAGCATCAATTGTTAGATTACATCAAAAATTTAAATCGCAAAAACTTGCCATTCTTTAACAGAAAGTGCTCAAGGCACTTCTAGAGATGTCTATGATTTTGTATATGCCCTGGATTTAATGATATTTGGGGAGGGGGGCAGGGAAGGACTTAGTTTTCTTTGGAGTGAGACTATATGTATTTATATTTATCTCACTGTTAATTTTCTTAAATATATTTCAATAATCAAATTTTGTCTTCCTTGAAAAGCACCGTTATAATTTATACTGCAAAATTTTCAGAATAAATATACCATACAAATTTAACAAGTGGCTTATATTAACTTTTTACAATCATAATGCTATAATAATTATTTATGTAAAAATGTAACACTAATTTCATATACAGGGGTTGGACAAAAATATGGAAACACCTTTAAAAAAACATGTTTCTTTGCTTAATATGGTGTAGGAAACCCGTTGGCATCCAAAACAGCTTGCAGTCTTCTCGGAATGGATAAATACAGTTCCTGTATGTTTGCCAAGGGAATATTATACCATTCTTCCTGCAAAACGGTGGCAAGTTCAGATAACGAGGTTGGCGGTGGATAACGAGAACGCACTTTCCGTTCCAATGTAGACCACAAAAGTTCGATAATACTCAGGTCTGGTGACTGTGGTGGCAGGGGAGATGGGACAACTCATCCTCGTGCTCATAAACCAGTCCTGGACAATGTGAGCTGTGTGAACAGGGGCTTTGTCGTCATGGAAGACACCATCACCATCAGGGAACAAAATTTGTACCATGGGATGAACTTGATCGGCAAAAATGTTCACATAAGTCTTGGCAGTCATGTGCCCTGACACAGTTATCATGGGGCTAGCAGAGAACCACGATATGGCTGCCCAAACCATAACAGAACCCCCACCATGTTTCACTCTTGGCAACAAGAAGTCTGTATTATAGGCTTGAGATGGCGTTCTCCAGACGTAAACTCGGCCAGAAGTGGGAAACAACGTGAAAGAAGACTCCTCAGACCATATTACTCGCTTCCACTGCTCTATAGTCCAGGCTTTATGACTTATACACCACCTTTTCCTGTTATGTGCATTAGCATCACTGATGAGTGGCTTCTCAATTGCAGCACGGCTAGCAATTCCCTGTTTATGAAGCTTCCTTCTAATTGTTTTGGTACTCACAGGGTTCGGTAACACAACATTCATTTCAGCAGTAACTTTTGCAGCTGTGGTCTTTTTATTTTTCGTCGCAATTGCCCTTAATGATCGTCTGTCACGATCACTCAGGACACACTTTCGTCCGCACTGTTATTTAGCAGATGATGTTTTCTGCTTTTCAAATATGCGGAATAAATCTTCGATACAGTACCTCTTGAAACACTAAACACCTCAGCTACCTTGCTTACGGAAGCACCTACCATACGTGCTCCAACAATTTGCCCACGTTCGAAGTCTGTTCACTCTGACATAATGCAATGACAACCTCACATAACAGTACTCCGACAACAACTGAACTGTTTAGCACATTTACGAAGCTGTATAGGTGGCGTCAGTAGTCAAAAACGCGAGCGCCACCTACATATTTCATTAAAATCAATCTTTCTTTTCAAACATGCATTTCATAAGGTGTTTCCATATTTTTGTCCATCCACTGTATGTACACAAAAGCTTCTATCTCTATCTAGAAGCACATATGAGAATAAATTTTTATTTTATTACTTAAAAAAAGGGGGAAGAAAAACATGAAAAGATATTTTATCAAAAATCAGTGTAAAAATGTTAGAATTCAGACTTTAGCATTATAAGATACAGTCCAAGTTTAACTTACTTAGCCATAGACAAATATTGCTCAACTTCCTGCTCGCTTAATTGGCCTGGTTTCCATTTCAATGTTTCTAATTCCTCACATTTTCTGCCATCTTTTTCACCTGCAATTTCAACATTATTTAAAATTAGATTTCTTAAACCTGTATTTGTTTGATGATATACTTTGTACAATTATACCAGCATTTTTTGAAAACATGAAAAAGTCTGACAAGGCTAATTATAATTTATATAAAATATACAGTATACCACTTCAAAATTTCAAAGCAAACAATATATGATACAGCAGTCTGAACACTAGATTGATTACATGAGATGAAATGTGGCACAGTTATCTATAAATCAGGAATTAGAAATGCAAAAGAGTTTTCTTCATGAATAATAGGCTATCAAGTAACTATTTCAAACCAATAAATAAGAATATGATAATAATATAATCTAAAACAGCATCTCCAAGTAACTATTTTAGAGTAAAAAATAAATAAAAATATACCTCATGAATCACTGAATCGCACAAGTGTCACTACAAAACAACCCATATTTCCTAAATAACATTACTACAACGAGAAGATCCTTATTTCTAACAGTGAATGTAATATTTACCTTAAATCAACATATGAGTTTTGTACACAAGGAAGTTAAGAATTATTTCGACTTCAGACAGGAGATAGAAAAGTTATCATTTTTTTAAAAGATATATCAGCACGACACTGGCAACCATTATCTAGGATTCAATCTTATTGAATTTGTGTGGTAGCTAGTGCATGAAAAGACACAAATGCTTCTGGCAATGCCAGAATGAAAGTGCAGTTTTATGCCTCTCATATAACCTCAAATTAATTTGGTAAAATCTATTTTGTATCTTTATATCCGTTTTCATTTTAATAAACTAGTCCTTCTTTCCATGAAACTTTACATATCATTAAGGTTGGCAGCATCTACTTAGATTTTGTGTCAATATTTAAGTTTGGTGCTAAGTGTACCCTATTAACAAAAAAGCAATATTAGCTACGTTTATATAATTATTTATCTTATTATTGGTTCAATAACTTTCCATTCATTAAAATGCTGTTTAGATCATTACTGGGGGGGAGACAAAATTTTTTTACGTAACAAACAGGTAAGAAATAACAAATCTCAAGATTGCATAAAGCTAGTCAGGGCACTTAAAAGTCAAGTTCTTTTAAAAATAGAATTAATCATAAAGAGTATGAAGAGTCGTATTAATTTATTCATGCAAGTTCTTACACATTAAGTTCCTTTTTATATTATTCTCACAGACCAGGAGTTCCCAGTCTTTCTCTAACATCAACTGCCTTGCATTTTTCTCTATAATATATAACATACAACATAATCATAATACAAATTTACACATATAACTTAGTAACAACAATTAGACTAAGAATGGTTTATTAGATTTATGTTTACTTTTACAAATATAAACAAATTTTCAGACACAAAATCAGAGATTTTAACTATGCAAAAATTTGATTATGATTAATGTGATGGTTGCACTTAGTGTATTAAAGTACACATGGAATATTCTGCATAAAATTGCTTAATTTAATTCTTAAATTACCCTGCTCAGAAATATTCAATCTTTTTATTGTTTTCCATATGAAATTACTGACTTGAATTGATTTATATTACATAAAAAAAGGGAAAGGAAATAATGTTAGTTTGGTAACAACTTATATGACTTTCAATATCTAAAATTTAGCATACACACAATTTTGTAATCAGTGGGATCTATGCTGATTAAATGCTGTTGCATATTCAGCTATCAAGCCCTTAATCACTACTGACTCCCGAAAAAAATTTTAATGACCCCACAGGAAAATCTTGTCATAAGCCATATATTGTTTATAAATATTTATTTCAGAGCATTTTATGTAATGAAGTTTAAAGTTCGTGTTCCTTTAAGTTTAAAAGGAACACAAAATTTCACTTCATTATTTGCATCCATATTTAAGCTATCTTTCACTCTGACTGCACAGATGCATCTCTTAAAATATTCTTGATCACATTTAGACCTTGCCAAAAAATGCTCAATAAAAAATTAACTTTTTATAGCTGTATGTTGGAAATTTACATACATATCTTCTTTGTGAAGTGGGTATTGTTCTGTTATCAGGACTGGATTAAAAAAATGTATGAATGTATTCATGTATGTATATGTGATATTTTAGCAATTGTGGACATGAATGATGAAGCTTGGCATCAAAGTTCAGGCATTGCTGTGGCTGAGTGTTAAGGCAGCTGAATGATGATGCAGAAGGAATTTGTTTTTAATTGCACATTTTTATTCAATTCCAATGGCAGGTAATCTTTCTTTTAAATGAAATTCTCTTAATTACATATCAAATAGTGTTTCAAATTAAATACGATGAAATCTAGGCTTTTGATGTGATAACTATTCTAACAAAGGGAAGAAAGATGAGAAGTGCAGCAGCATAGATCTTACTAGCAGAGGGAGAAAGGAGCTTCTGTCGCAAAATGGCCCAAGTTCTCTATTTATAGAAGCAGTTACATAATAAGCTTGAAAGTTCTGGAAAGTACTGGTCTAGGGGGGAAGATCCTGAATTGCAGAAAGCTAATTAAAGGTTGCTGGTTCGCATGAAGCAAAGCCGTCCTATTTTTTATATTTTACATATATATATGTGTGTGTATATGTATATATATGTGTATATGTATACACATACATACATTCATACTTATATATATACAATAAAAAATATGAAAGCAAATTTCTAATTTTAATTGGCCATAAGCTCTTTTATTTTTCATTTAATTTGCGGACTTCCTCTCTCTATCTTAAAAATAGCGCTATAAGCTGGTTGATTGCTTATAGCACTATTTTTGATTATTTGACTATATTATTTATTATTTGACTGCTAATAGCTATTAAGCATGATTAATTTGAATTACTCAGTGCTTAAAAATAGCGCCTTGTCATTCAAATTAATCATGCGACTCTACGTAACACTTAATCCAGATACCTCTTATCCAATCACTAAATAATTGTAAACCCCAAAACTTTTTGACGCCCTCCCTCCTTCCTCTGAATCACTGTGAAACCTTCGCTTACACTTTTCTCCTGGCAAGACGCTTTGCAGCAACCTTCTTTTTTCACTGAATATACGCTCATCTAACAGAACTGTAGGGTACATAAGACACCTGTCTGTATGTGAACCAAATATTGCAAATCCAGAACTACTTTCCTTGATAATAAAATTATCTTAAATCCAGCCATGTCTGCCTTGCCAAGTTTCTTCGCTAGGCAACTATTACATCACCAACAAATTCCAAATCATTCGCATCATGTCATCGAGTCGAAAGGATGTCTCATGTGTGTGGAACTCCCAATGCAGAGTTTATTCAACCAATCTATCATCATTTAAATAATTGATAAAATAAAAGGAAAGTGTTCATCGCTACCTGAATTCTGAATCAGGCAAAAGTCACATCGAAATATGTGAACAAAAATTTATTTTTAACAGTATTATAGGCAATGTGTTTTTCAACAAGCATGAAAGTGCTTATTTTATTTCAAAAAATAAATACAGTAGAATCCCATAAATCCGCAAAGCTTGAGACTAGAGGTTGTGTGGATTTTGCGGATTTCAGGACAGAAAAGATAAATCATAATATTCAGACTAAAAGTGCAAAATAAATAAGGTGTATTAGATACATTTAATTAAATTATTATATGCATTAAATTATTATTACATATATAAACTGATTATATTATTCACTGTATTATATATATACACAGCATCGAGGTTTGTCGATTTCGCCTCATGCAAAAATTTCTGGTTTCGAATTCCGGTGTTAGAATCACTGTTCCTGTAAAATTTCAACAGCTTTTCTTTATTTTTCCGTATATCATACACAGTTGTATCACAATTCCATATGATTCTGCTATAAATCGAGGAGTAGCACCTGTCTCCATCATTTGCAGAATTTGCACTTTTTGCATTACTGTCAATGCAACATGTTTACGTTTTTCAACGTTGCAAGTAGTAAAATCATGAGTGCGTTTCTAATCTGCAATTGTATTAAAAAAGGATGAAATTGAAAATATTCTTAATTTATCCACAAAATATTCGAATAAAAAAAAAGGCAGCACTAAATAATCTCGTGAAATAACAATGTGAATTCTGAATTTGAAAGAAGGATTGAGTGAATCATCTGCTTTTTTACCTCGATGCAGATCTGAGGAGAAAAAACATATCATGATGTCAATAATTTGGTATTTCCGTTATGACTCATTATTATTCGGTAATTATGACGTCATTATTCGATAAGTATTTTTTCTTTGATATTTTGTACTCAATGTTACGGTTTCCGGAACCTATAAACTGAATGTTTATATTTTAAGAGGCAACGCGGATTTCAGGAGTTGGCGAATTTCGGTATTTGACTGTATTATCAAAAGTGGTATCGAAGTAAATTTACCGATTAATTTCTTCAGTTCCAAATTAAATGTCTAAAGTTGTTTCCATTCAGGAAATCAAGTGATGATATTGAAAAAATGTTATAAGGTATTTCTCCCACTTTCCTAGCGTGCCTTCGTGGTGTAGTGGTTCTGCACGCTGGGCCGGTATTCCAGAGGTCCATGGTTCGATTCCTGGCGAATACATTGTTAATTTTTCATTTCTCCTGCTTCCACAAAAAATCCTAATGTCTCTACAAAGCCCGAACTAAAAGGGTGTTGGATGAAGTTTCTCCCCACTCAGGATTTGGTGATTGGGTCCCCTGAAAACACCAGTCGCCCTTTAAAAGGGGGAGTATATAAGGTATTTCTCCCACTTTCATAGTATGCCTTTGTGGTGTAGTGGTTCTGCACATTGGGTCGGTATTCCAGAGGTCCGCGATTCAATTCCCGGTGAAGGTGTTGTTAATTTTTCATTTCTCCTGCTTCCTCCCCCCCTCCCCAAAAAAACACCTCGCCTGAACTAAAAGGGTCTTGAATGAGGTTTCTCCACACCCAGGATTTGGTGACTGGTTACCCTGAAAACCCCAGTAGCTCTTTAAAAAGGGGAGTATATAAGGTATTTCTCCCACTTTCCTAGTGTTCCTTCGTGGTGTAGTGGTTCTGCACGCTGGGCCGGTATTCCAGAGGTCTGCAGTTCGATTCCCAGTGAAGCTGTTGTTAATTTTTCATTTCTCTTACTTCCAAAAAAATATTTATGTCTCTACAGTATTTTTTAATGTTAAGTGCTAAAAAATTTTTGAGTTTCTCTCCAGCTGCATCATTAATAAATAACTTACTCAATAAATGGTTATATTTTAAAATCTGAAAATATGTTTTCTTAGAATATTGATTTTAATTTAATGGATTAAAAAGAAGTAGCACTACTTTATGAAAATATCAAATTAAAATATATAAGTATTCCAAGATTTTATTCAGGGGAAGATTATTAAATTTTATTGTTATTAGTAATTATAAGTTTTGTCAAAAATTTTTAATCAATGTTAAGAACTTTGGAATTAATTTGTTAGCAAGATAAGAATTTTGGAATTATTTTGTAAATAAGATTATTGTTTAAAAATTTGAATTTTAAGAATTTGCTAATTATTTTGAGAGGGATGTATATATGAAATATAAATGAAACAATTACTAAATGATAGAATATTAAATATTGCTAAATTTAATATAGAAACACCAAAGTTTTAAGAAATTGAATATTTGAAATAATAAAATTTATATCAGAATTTAATTAAGAGTAAAATGTATTAAAATTTATTTGTAATTATAGTAAATGAATGTTATAATTACCAATAATTGTATGTTAAATATAAAGTGTATTGAGGGAGTACTGGTTTAGAAACAGAGGCCTGTTTCACCTCTGCATAATTGTTCCTTTTACCCTCCTCATATACACTTTGAAGGCTCCCACTTTTTTTAATTTTGTATACAGGATTTTTATTTTTTCATATAATAGAATGTGATTTTTTTAATATAATGAAATGTTGTAGCGCAGTACACAAAGGCCAGTTATCTTATATAAGGAATGGATGCCTTTCCAAGTAACTGCCGAGTACCCATAACCACTCATGAAAATTTAATACATGAATTCGTTAAAGTGGATATGTTAGCTGGATGTGTGTACTAGGAGAAAGTTGTGGGGGTCTTCTGTTTTGTGTAAAATACGAAAATTGTGAAATGTAATAATAAAAGTATAAAACATAGTTTCAATAATGCTATTACAAATGATAAAATATTACTTATAAATGTGAAAATTAGCATGGTGTAAAATTTTAAGACTTATGATTATTTATAATAATTAATGGATACATAATTTCTTTATAATTGTGATATTGTGTGTAAAAATTTTTGGAAACTCTTACCTGAAGTATCAAAATTATGATGTGAATGTTCCAGAAACACAATTTTTTTACAGATTAGACTGAAATCTTAATACGACTCTAAAGATATGCAATTTTTTTAAAAGAAATTGCTTAAAATTCTTATTGAATTCAAAATTTTACGGCGAATTTTTTAATCGTTCAAAAGTTAATTTTATAAGGTTCATATTTTCAAAATTATATATCTCTCATATTTTTGCCACTCTAATGGCCTTTTCTCTCAAAAAGGCTTCTCTATCACTCTGCGTTTTTCTCTTTGAAGGGGGGAGGGGAATGTGCAAGATAAAAAATATGAAAGCAAACTTCTAATATTAATTGGCTATAACCTCTTATTTTTCATTTAATTTGTGGACAACCTCTCTCTGTCTTAAAAATAGTGCTATAAGTCTGAACTGGGTCATTCAAATTAATCATGCAATGCTTATTTAGTGATTGGGCAGGTAATTCTTGCCCAATCACTAAATAATTGTAAACCAAAACTTTTTAAACTCAAATTGAAACTTTTTTACTCCCTCCCTTCTTCCTCTGAATTGCTGTAACAACTTTTGCTTACACTTTCCTCCAGGCAAGACATTTAGTGGCAACCTTCTTTGTTCATTGAATATGTTCTGAGCTAACAAAAATGTATAATTTCTGAATCCAATCCTCATAATATAACAGTACTGTGAAGTGTTGAGGGATTCAATCTCATACTGTTACAGTTATTTATACAGCAGCAGTAATTATAGAAAAACTTTTCAAGTTTATAATTTACTACTAAGAATGTTCCAGGATACATCCTCATATTCAGAATTCCTAATAATCTGGATTATATGTTCTTTAATCATTCCCATATTAAAATGTTCCTGTAGTAACAGCAGTCAGACTCATAGATAGATTTGTTTGTGATATTGTGCATATTAGAAATGAAGTTCTAAACTGTATGACTAAAGTCACAATTAATTCACTCATTTCAATGTGGTGAACATATTCTACATTTTAATTGAAGTACCAAGTGCATTAACACTGTTTGATGTATTACATGTTACTGCTGAATACTGTGTATGGTTTGTGTTACAGATGTAACTATAGATGTCTTAAAGTTGCATAACTCATTGAAACAATGAACTTTGAACAGTCCGAAGATGTTGGCAATCCCTCTATATTTTTTAACATCTTACCTAATACCACATAAGTAAAAATCTCATTCCTAATCTAATGTAATTCTACTTAAATGTTAAAAAAAAAAAAAAAAAAAAAAAACTTTTATAACAAAAATAAAGCAAATCAACTCAAAGATACAAAGAATGAATTTTCTGGCAATTGGAAATGTGCATATGCAGAAAAATTGAAAGAAAGACTGCTTTTGACATACTCAAATGTAGCAGACAAGCATTTTTGAAAAATGAAATGCCTAAATTAACATTGTACTCAGTTTTATTCATGACACTTTGTCAGGATTCTTACAGAGTGCAAATGATATGTAAGCCGAACTGCATGAAAAATTATAATAAATCTATATAACAGAAATGGACTACCGATATGCTTTGCATTCAGGATTTTGAACTATATGCAGGCATTTCCTGCTTACTTGATAAGTTAGGGATTCCAGCTGCAGGTAAAATTTCCTTCGCCAAATAACACATTATTTCCAAATGCTCACAAAATTTAAACACACTTCATGTATGCAAAAGAACTTTAAAATGAACAGGATTATGATTCAGATTATATTGTTGTAGATATCTGAATCTTTTTGGGGGGGGTTCTCCCCTCCCCCTCTCTCTGTATCGTGGTAGCACTTTGTAATGTTTTATTTATCAGGTTTTAATGAAAATTTTCCACCACTGTAAATATCGTCTGCGCAAACAGTTCATGTTGGCGTGTTTAATCATATTTTGTCAAAGAATTTTTGGTGATTGAAAGAAAAAGACTTGCTTTAGAACACTGCGTTGTGAAATTTGTAAAAAAATATCGTTATTAAGCACAAGGTGTCTAAAATGGAACTACCATGTTACCATATTAGAACCATCATTTACCTCCAGTTCTGTAGCAAAAAGTCAGCTACAGATTGTCACCAAATCATGTATACAGTTATAGATACTAATATTGCACCATATGACATTGTGAAGGTTTGGTACTGAATGTTCAAAAACAAAAACTAACTGACATTCAAAAAGCAATATGCTCTGGCTGGCCTACTGATGTTGATGAAGCCTGCCTGTGAGAACTTGTGGAAGAAGATCAATATGCAACTATTTGAGAGCTTGCAAAGGAGTTAGACATTAAAGCAATGGGCATTAGCTGTGCTATGCGTTGCATAAACTTGATGTACAAGTTCAGTCGCAGGGTGCCACATGAGTTGACTCAAGCAGATAAGGACAGATGTGTTCAGACCTGCCCTAATCTGCTCAAATACCAACAGAAAAACAAAATTCTGGATTGGATCATCACTTGTGATGAAAAGTGGATTTACTTTAAGAACACAGGCCGAAAAGGGGTTGGTCTGTGCTCAGTGAGCCCATCAGCAGCATCACAAAGAGCAATTTGACTAACAAAAAAAATCACGCTTTGTATCTGGTGGGACTGCCATGGTATTATCCCCAAAGAGCATCTGGAAAAAGGGTAAACCTTGACAGTAAGGTGTATAGCGAGATGCTAGTCTGTGTTGATGCTGCTATCAAGGAAAAATGTTGAACTCAGTTCCGACGCAAAAGGTAATGGTCCATCCAGATAATGCAAGACAACATGTGTCTGCATTCACTGGCTGGACTCTGTGCAGACTCGAATAACACAAACAATTAAATAAGAATATTGTTACTATTAATAAATCTATTTGGCAAAATAATATTTACTAGATGTATTTTACAGTTTTTCTTCAATTACTTCCCATTTCATATACTTAATCAAAAACTTTGTTCACCATAACATGGCAATTAAGAAGCATGCCTTAATATTAATGACATCTTAAAATCAAATAAATATGATATCATATAAGTTAAAATTTAACATTAATTCGAGATAAATATAGTTGAGCTAGATATATACAATACCTGGCTTGAGAAGTGGAGGCACAGTGGCTTGATACTGCCGACCAACTCTTATTCTATTTCTATTTTTATTTTTGGCCTCATAGTCCCAGTATGAATCAAACTCAGCATCTGTACAGCAGAAAATGAAAAACAGTTTTAGTAAAACTGGTGTAAAATCAAAAAGCACACATTTAATGCAAAAATAAATAAATGAACTGGACAATTTCAACTCCATATATACGGACATATAAGATGAATATAGAGATCATTTCAAATGAGATTAAGCGAAAACTGAAAAGAAATATGTAAACAAAATAAAAATATTTAAGAAATAAATAGGTTCAATAGGTATGCTTATTTTTAAGTATTACGCAAATTGAAATTTATTTTTAAATATTATGCAAATTATTAAAGATGCATTTTTAAATATTATACTAATTGATGAATATCTTATTTTGATTCAAAAGGAAATTTATAACAAAATATCAGATGCAATTTAAAAAACCTCATAAAATATCACTTGTATCGATCACAATCTATAATTTTATATAAATAGGTTTTATGATTCAAATAAAATATGCATGTATATGCCAAAAAATTTTTTAAAAATTCAACAAATCAAAATCAATGGCAATAAGATTTTACGAATGAACTATGTTGTGATGTAATTATTTCATATATTTCAATAAAAAAATTAAAAGTAGACTCTTTGATTTAGTAAATTATATAATTTAATTTTCATGTGTATTAAATAAAAATTCAAGCAAAAAGAAATTCTGCAAGATGATCGTTAAGATTTCTCACACAGAACTGCATACATGCCTTATAGTTTATGCTTTAAACAAATTAGTTTAAAGCATAAACCAAAATGCAAATTAGTTTAAAGCATAAACAAGCATCTATTTTAGGTTGTCAGACACCATTTCACAAGATTGGCTGGCTGTCACTCTACAATTTCTATTTTTTGCTGTTGAAAATTAGTTTGCCAGCAAAAGCTTCATTTGCAAGAATTTCTTTGTCAGCTTGGATGAGCGTAGGTTCAGACTAGGCTATTTAACTCTAAGATTAGAGTTAAATAGCCTAGTCTAAACCTAGAGTTAAGAGTTAAATTAAATTGACATTTAATGGTGCTCAGAGCCACCTGCAGCTCAATCTATCAGCTGGAATGCCACCAAATTTAGCAGAGGAACTAATAACAAGGGGAAACAAATTCTGTGAAAATAATTCAGTTCCAAAAGTTGCCGATAGGGAAAAATATGACACTGTTTTAGTCTTTAAAAATGAAAATTTCCATGAAATAAATGTAAAATTTGAAAATACAAATATTTTGGTTATGTAAAATGACAACAGCATCAATAATTCAGTCTTTTACTTTAGCTCATTGCAAATTACTTGTGAAATCATTTTATCTTTTTCAACTGAATGCAACTACTGCTCTTCATGAATTTAGAAGTCATAACAAGCTACATAAAGCCCCTCTATCAATCAACGCATTGAAAGGCATGATTTAGAAGTTCGAAGAGAGAGGATCCTTAGCAGTTTAGTTTGGTAGAGAGCGGAAACTGGTATTAGAACAGATAGCTACTAATGTCACAACTGCAATTGTTGATGTATAGCAATAACTGCATACATGCCTTATCAATAAATCTAAACACTTAACTATTACACATACTTATTCCACTTTCTTTGCATTGTAAATTTTGGTTTCTGTGCATGTTTGCAATGACAGCTCATCCTTTACCATTGGCTTTTTAAATTTCTTCTTTCACTCGAGTTATAATACAAACAATAATTCAGCTTTGCAAATTACATAACTTGATATATAGGTACCCAATGATACAGTTCTTTCATGAGATGTTTAATATCATTCACCTCGTATTTTACGAGCTGAATGATCAAGCTTATCTTTAAACTGTTTTACTATAAATGTAAAAATGCAGCATGATGTTACTAATAGAATTAGTGACTCTGACTGAGGCTATAACAGTGAAATATATAATTGTCTAAAAATATATGAATATAAACATTTCTGTAAAAAATACATGATACACCAAGCTAAATCCCAATACTGTTATAACAAAGTCATAACAATGCTACTGCTGAAAAGAAGTAAATTTTTCTTGGTGTTTGCCAACCCAGGATGACTATCCAATGATTATAGAATGAACTTCCATTCATGTTATAAGAATGGACTGAGAATACAAAGAAAATTAATTGCTACAATAACAGTCAGTGCTTATGGCAGTTATTTCATACATCTTCTTTATCTAAGCAAAAATGTCCGATTAACAAGGAATTTAAATTGATGATGGAGTAAGTAAAAGGAAAATTTGTCACTTAAGAAAAAGGATCACATTATAATTGACAAAGCTTTAAAAACTGAATGAAGGGTTCCCCTTCCCTTTGGCAAAAATTTCACTAATCGTACTTCGAAATAAAAGCTTAGACTTTAATTAACCAGTTATTTTATTATTTTTCATCTTCCATAATTTTTACCAAAATGCAAATTAGTTTAAAGCATTAAACAAGCATCTATTTTAGGTTGTCAGACACCATTTCACAAGATTGGCTGACTGTCACTCTACAATTTCTATTTTTTTTTTTTGCTGTTGAAAATTAGTTTGCCAGCAAAAGCTTCATTTGCAAGAATTTCTTTGTCAGCTTGGATGAGCGAAGGTTCAGACTAGGCTATTTAACTCTAAGATTAGAGTTAAATAGCCTAGTCTAAACCTAGAGTTAAGAGTTAAATTAAATTGACATTTAATGGTGCTCAGAGCCACCTGCAGCTCAATCTATCAGTTGGAATGCCACCAAATTTAGCAGAGGAACTAATAACAAGGGGAAACAAATTCTGTGAAAAAAATTCAGTTCCAAAAGTTGCCGATAGGGAAAATATGACACTGTTTTAGTCTTTAAAAATGAAAATTTCCATGAAATAAATGTAAAATTTGAAAATACAAATATTTGGTTATGTAAATGACAACAGCATCAATAATTCAGTCTTTTACTTTAGCTCAGTGCACATTACTTGTGAAATCATTTTATCTTTTTCAACTGAATGCAACTACTGCTCTTCATGAATTTAGAAGTCATAACAAGCTACATAAAGCCCCTTTATCAATCAACGCATTGAAAGGCATGATTTAGAAGTTCGAAGAGAGAGGATCCTTAGCAGTTTAGTTTGGTAGAGAGCGGAAACAGGTATTAGAACAGATAGCTACTAATGTCACAACTGCAATTGTTGATGGCACTCATGGGACTATTGCTGATAGCAGCAGCACCTGGGCAATAGTGCAACAGCTGAATTCAATCTCTCAATGGTATGGTAAATCATGGAAAGTTCTTCACTTCTACCCATACCAGATAAGCTGCCTGCAGGAAGTAAAACACAATGTTTATGATAAACGAGTAGGATTTGCTCTGACATTTCTTGCCAGGATGGAGGTTGATGAAGTTTTGGCCATGAAGAATTCGGTACGAAAATGAGACCTTCTTTTCACCTAAACAGGACTGTTAACACTCGCAATTCTTAAAGTGGAGCATCCGAACAATTCTGTGCAGTTCAGAACATTCCATTGCTTTCACCAAAAGTCACTGTCTGGTATGGCTCCACAGCAGATTTCATCATTAGATCATTTTTTTTTTTTAGAGGATTTCTCTAACAGGACCATATGTCTGCATTCTAACCACACAAAGGTATTATGACATGCTGACTACTTCTTTCATTCCACAATGTCAGCAGAGGTAGTTGCTATATTGGGTAACTTTCTAACCACACAAAGGTATTATGACATGCTGACTACTTCTTTCATTCCACAACGTCAGCAGAGGTAGTTGCTATATCAGGTAACTTATATGCAGGATGGAACATTACTGTATGTTGGTCTATCGGTACAGTGGCTGTTGCATCACCACTTTTTAGAAGAAAAGATCACAAAATCATTTTTTTCCACTTGCATAGCTACCTCTCCAGATCCAAAACCCCACATGACATTTTTCCTATGGGGTTATTTAAAGTTCAAGGTCTATCTTGGTGGGTTCTCGACCTTGACTACCTTAAAAGACAATTTATCAAGGGCTATGCCATCAAAACTTTTATGTACAGGATCCATGAGAAGGTGGTTACTTAGTAAGAGATCTATGCTCTAACTAAGGAAGTGCTTTTATTGAATAAAATGCTGTGGTGGACTGAAATATCATCTCTGTAACATTTGGTGCAGTTCATTTGCTGCATTAAAGAGCTGTCACACTGAAATTTCTTCATTACTGATTTAGCTAGTTCTGAGCTGTGCAAATTACAACACAGCCATATTTTTCTTCAGCGTCAAATTTCAGAGCTAATTTTTATCATGAAATCTTTTTTCCCATTTCCTCCAAATATGATGGCATTTCAGCTCATAGATCAAGCTACAGATGGCTCTGAGTGGCATCAGTTTAAAAGCAAATGGCCTGTACTATGATTTAAATTGATTTTGACAATCTATCCAATGTCACATCAATAACTTATGGGTCAACCTCACAGTTTAAAAATTCCTTTGGCAGGCACAGGTATCTTTTGGTTTAAATTTATTTTCAAAGTTCATTTAAATTTATTGACCACCAACATCAACAGCCATCAGTTTTTTTTTTTTTACAGGTACCAGTGAATTTTGGTTTACTTTAAACTAAACATTTATCTAAATGTTCAACATCTTCCTATATCAGTGATGCAAATAGTCAACCTACTGGTTACAGGTGACCTATAAATGACATATTTTACAGTCACAACATCACTTACATGACATCATCACTTGGTTATAAAACAAATTTGGTGAGTTTTAAAATTAAATCAAATATACAACCATTAAGGCTGCTGACCACCTAGAGACTGACATTGACTAGCAGTCAACTCATAGCATGGGAAATGCAGTAATTTTATTTAAATTAATTCAAAATTAAATAGCGGTATGGTGGAGTCCTATGGTGGAGAACTGCCAATGTAAGGCAATGCAATGTTTGTTACAGTGCAACTATTGCCAAAGCAAGTGAATTCTTTGCATATATTAGCATTACCTAATATAACATGATTTAATGCTTAAAAAATTTTGGAAAGACTCTGCTAAAAACATGTCTAATGTCAAAACAAATCA